ACTGTCACCAAAATGGATTTTATAAATGCACACACAATCATCCTCCCTATTTGTAAGACTTCCCAATGAACTACTTCTCATAAAAGTACAATTTAGTTCTGTATGCAAATACTTACACAGTCCTTACTACTGGTCTTCTCATAATAATAGAGTACTAAAAATACGCAAACTATTTAAGGCAAGAATGGTGATATCCAAAAATGAAATCAAATGATGCTTGCTCCTTAGAAGAAAAGCTATGACAAACCTAGACAGCATATTAAAAAGCAGAGACATCACTTTGCCCACAAAGGTCCATCTAGTCCAAGCTATGTTTTTGCCAGTACGTATGCATGTGAGAGTTGGACCATAAAGAAAGCTGAGCATCGAAGTATTGATGCTTTTCAACTATGGTGTTGGAGAAGACTCTTGAGAGTCCCTTGGATTGCAAGGAGCTCCAACCAGTCAATACTGAAGGAAATCAGTCCCAAATATTCATTGAAAAGACTGATGTTGAAGCTGAAACTCCAAAACTTTGGCCACTTGAAGCAAAGAACTGACTCACTGGAAAAGACCCCGACGCTGGGAAAAATTGAAGGCAGGAGGAGAATGACGGAGGATGAGATGGCTGGATGGTATCACCGACTCGATGGACATGAGTCTGAGCAAGCTCTAGGAGTTGGTGATGGAAAGGGAAGCCTGGTGTGCTGCAGTCCATGGGGTCACAAAGAGTAGGATACAACTGACTGACTGAACTGAACTGATCCAAAACTAAATCTAGAAAAACTGAATATACCTATAACTATCAAAGAAAGTGGGGAAGAAAAAAAGATGAGAGGCATTAAGGAAAAAAACACTACCCCTAGAAAAATCTACCAGACCCAAACAGCTGTAGGGTCCAACAGTCAAGTACACTCTTGAGAGAAAGATATAAACTACTCTAGAATACATGAAAAAAAAAAAACTGTTACATTTTCCCAACTCAATCCATAGCTCAATACAAAAACAAAACAGGGTAACTACAAAAATAAAAACCATAACCTGATTTAACTTAACATAAACACAAAAGTATTTAATAAAAATACTGAATTACTGTCAAGTACAACCACCAAATCAACAAATCAAATAGGATTTATCTCAAAAAGCAAGGACAATTCAATTTATCAATAAAATTAATTATCATATTAAAGGAAGAAAACTGTATGATCCCTCAACAGAATGCCCTAAAGGTATCTGATAAAACTCCACAAAATCTCAGAAAACCAGAAATTAAAAATTTTCTTAACTTGATCAGATATCTTTCAGAACCTATGACAAATACACTTACTGGTATAAAATTAAAAAAACTGTTTCTACTACAAAAAGGAATGGGAAAAGAATGCCTGCTATGAATGCCTGTGTTCAACACTACACTAAAAGATTGAAAAAAAAGAAAAAAGCCTTAGATAATGCAAAAATAACAAAAAATAAGAAATATCACGGCTGATGAGTTAACGAAGGGGCTGCGTATCAAACAATTAATGAGGAAGCATAAAGAAAGCCTTCCATTTCCCATCATTTGTGTTGTATGTATTTAAAGCATGCAGTCCTGTAACTGGTTTTTTTGTGTTTTTATTTTTTTCCTGCATCTTATAATGTGAGTAAACTTTTTTTTTTTAAATGGCAGTATTTTGCCAGGTCGAAGGGGCATAAAGAGGGGTTTTATTTCTTTTGTTTTTTTATTTATTTTAATTGGAGGCTAATTACTTCACAATACTGTGGTGGTTTTTGCCATACATTCACATGAATCAGCCATGGGTGTACATGTGTCCCCCATCCTGACCCTCCCTCCCACCTCCCTCCCCATCCCATCCCTCTGGGTCATCCCAGTGCACCAGCCCTGAGCACCCTGCCTCATGCATCGAACCTGGACTGGTGATCTAGTTCACACATGATTATATACATGTTTCAATGCTATTCTCTCAAATCATCCCACCCTCACTTTCTCCCACAGAGTCCAACAGTCTGTTCTTTACATCTGTGTCTCTCTTGCTGTCTCGTATATAGGGCCATCGTTACCATCTTTCTAAACTTCACATATATGCGTTAATATACTGTATTGGTGTTTTCCTTTCTGACTTACTTCGCTCTGTATAATAGGCTCCAGTTTCATCCACTTCATTAGAACTGATTCAAATGCATTCTTTTTAATATCTGAGTAATATTCCATTGTGTATATATGTACCACAGTAAAGAGGGCTTTTATAATCACATATTGGATTCGAATGTAGGTGTTATTAACAAATTGCTAACTACGGGTAAACGTCCTTAACCTCTTTGATCCTCAATTTTCTCATCTTGTATCAAGTAGATGAAGAGAAGTAAAGCGGGGCTTGCAAGGGCACTGAAGGCTAGTTCCTGAACCAAACTTTTCAGGGAGGCTAAGGTGCCCACCCTGCAAGGAGATCCAACCAGTCCATCCTAAAGGAGATCAGTCCTGGGTGTTCATTGGAAGGACTGATGCTGAAGCTGAAACTCCAAGACTTTGGCGACCTCATGTGAAGAGTTGACTCATTGGAAAAGACCCTGTTGCTGGGAGGGATTGGGGGCAAGAGGAGAAGGGACGACAGAGGATGAGATGGCTGGATGGCATCACCAACGCGATGGACATTGAGTTTGAGTAAACTCCAGGAATTGGTGATGGACAGGGAGGCCTGGCGTGCTGCGATTCATGGGTTCGCAAAGAGTCGGACACGACTGAGCGACTGAACTTAACTGAACTGAAAGGTGACCACAGGAGTGGAAGGAGCTAAAGGCAACATGGGTCAGACGATCAGCAAAGCCAGAAATTTTAAATTCAAGTCGTGGGAGTGTGGGGTTCAAGGGAACTTAGGAACGTGCACTTCATCACCGGATCCTGTAGGACCGCAGCGCTAACAGGAGCGACGCCAGGCTACGCATCCCATAGTCACATCCCGCTCTTCGCCAGCCTTCTGAAAACGCGGCCGCTTCGAGAAGCGGCGAGAAAGACGCGCACGCACCTGCTGCAGAGAGCCGGCGACGCTGGAAGATGAGTCAGTGCTTCTCCGCTTCCCACGCTCACCGCGCTCCACGCTGCTGCCACCCCAGCAGCTGCTGCCGCTCCCGCCGCCAGTGACACTTCCACTCGCGCTAGTGCTCCCACAGCAGGTGACGCTCCCGCAGCCGCTTGCGCTCCCGCAGCCGCTGGTGCTTCCACTGCCACTGCTGCCTACGGCGGGGACCAGGTCCGGCGCCGCGAGGGCCGCCGCCGCCTCCTGACCGCTTCGTTTGCGCCGCTTCTCCCTGGAAGACTTCTTTCCCGTCATGATCCCACTCTAGCAACCATCCGGTGAAAGACGCCGTCTCCAGATTGACCAAATGCCTCCGCAGGCGCTGGCGTCGCAGCTTGACGTCACTTCCGGTCGCGCCGCCAACGTTGAGAGTCGTTTCTGAAGGCTGGGTTGGGGCTGATCAAGCTGCCCCCGCCTACTGCGGAGGTTGGCTGCAGAGTTTGAGGGCGGGTGAGCACCGCGGCCGGATGTCGGTTGTATGTTTCCATATACAAAGAACCATAGGTGCAGTCTAGATGCCCATCAGCAGACGAATGGATGAGGAAGCTGTGGTACATATACACCATGGAATATTACTCAGCCATTAAAAAGAATTCATTTGAATCAGTTCTAATGAGATGGATGAAACTGGAGCCCATTATACAGAGCGAAGTAAGCCAGAAAGATAAAGACCATTACAGTATACTAACACATATATATGGAATTTAGAAAGATGGTAACGATAACCCTATATGCAAAACAGAAAAAGAGACTCCGATGTATAGAACAGACTTGTGGACTCTGAGAGAAGGCGAGGGTGGGATGTTTCAAGAGAACAGCATCGAAACACGTATATTATCTAGGGTGAAACAGATCACCAGCCCAGGTTGGGTGCATGAGACAAGTGCTCGGGCCTGGTGCACTGGGAAGACCCAGAGGGATCGGGTGGAGAGGGAGGTGGGAGGGGGGACCGGGATGGGGAATACATGTAAATCCATGGCTAATTCATTTCAATGTATGACAAAAACCACTGCAATGATGTAAAGTAACTAGCCTCCAACTAATAAAAATAAATGAAAAAAAAAATGCTATAATTTTTTTTCCTCTATAGAGAGTATATCAGTGACATCTAAACGACCCCCAAAGCACAAAAAATGCATAAGTAATTTTCCCAGAGTTCAATTAATCAATTTCTGACCATGGGCACTCACTACAAAAAAGCATTTATTCAGACTAGGTTGAATTAAAAACATAGATTATCCTAAGCTAACAATTATGAGTCATCTATTAGACAACCAGATGTATTCAATATTAGCTATAGAGTTCCAAACTGATTAAAAAAATACTTTCAATGAAAAGCCATGCTTGAAGGGACAAAACACACCTTCTTCTTAATGTTATCTAGAAAAGAAAGTCAAATTTACTTCAGTAATAACTGGGTGTGGCAGTCATATGCTCTGGTGAAAAACACTAATTCCTAGGTTCTTTGCTGACCTTCTGCAGAATAAATTACAAAACCACCAACCAATGGCACTGACCCTTAAATAATATGCTTGTTATTTTGTTCATAATGTGTGACATATATATACACATATATGTTTAAAGCCATCATTTGCGAGAAACCTTTGAGAGATCCTTCATTTCTATGAGCTGTACTAGGTTATGAAATGATGCGTCATCAAAGCCATCCTACATTTGACTACAAAGAACTTACCGTGGGGCCAGGCCTGAAGCACAGATTCCGCTGTGTGTGGAGTGGACCTCAGCAGAACCAATATTGCCACGCACAGGCCTAGGAGTCAAGCGGCTGCCCGGCACCCACAGGCTACGCAAGCGGCACTTGGGGGCCTCATGTGGGTGGCGCAGGAGACCAGGCCCGGCGCCCCAGCATCGAAGCCTAGAAAGCTAGTCCAGGACCACGTGGTTGAGTGCAGGAGGTGGCACCCAAGGCCACTCCTGGGAGCGCTATTCCTGCGGCCACGCCGCATCCCCTGGCTCTGAGTGAGTGCAAGGGTAGCAGAGCCTGGCTGCCGCCAGCTGTCTCCATCTCCCAAGCGGCCCACGGCTTCCTTGTGGAGGGCGCAGAGGACAATCAGGAATCTGCTCTCCACTTGGCCCTCTTGATACGGGGTCTGGTGGGACTCTAGGGCTACGCCCCATGGAATCGCCCCTGCAGAATCCCAGGGGACCCTGAATCAGGGGCCACCAGGCTGTCTGCTCTCCGCCCACTCCTCACCCTCCATGCGGGAGCTCTCTAGAACAAGCCCATCTGTGCAGGAGCTGTTGCCCTGAGGCTGAAACAAGTGTGAAGAATGGATGGAGAAAAGACAGCAGCTGGGCAGATGGGTCCAGCACCCTACTCCCAGCCTCCAGGCCATCTGGGACATCTGTGCCGCCCTCAAGGAGCCCTGGACACCAAGGAGCTCCATCAAGTGCTGATGTCTGCAGAGGAAATCAGGGACAGGTCTGAGCAGGACCTTGTCCCAGCTCTGCGGCGGCTTGGACACCCCAGAAGGACCCCTGCCCCATCCTCAGCCCACCTAGGCTGGCCAGCCTTTAAAGCAGAATCTCGGGGGCTATAATAAATATCTAAGTGTTTGCCAAAAGGAAATTTTAAAAGGAGGAAGAGACAAAAAAAATAAAAGAAAAGAAAGGGGGAGTGGGGAAGAGTAGAAGAAAGGCAACTAAATTCCAACTTAGTGTCCAAGTCAAGAACCAAACAATTGTTTCTCCTCCTTTGCAGCCAACCATCCAGGTTCAGAGGCAATTTCTAATACAAGAGTTCACCGCATTGGTTACGAAAATGATCTGATATACAGGAATAAGAGGAAACAGACTTATCTTTTTTATTTTCCAGCTGCTTTGGTGCTTACAACCCACACTTAGTGGGTCTGCCAGACGCAGATAACCACCTATCTAACATGTCTTCTTCTGTAGTCTTTGAACTTTAGAATCAAGTTCAGCGATTTTCTAGAAATGTTCAAAAATCTTAAAAAGTTTACAACCTTTAAAAAAACATAAGAAGCCAATCTGAAAAGGCTACAAACTATACAATGTCACCAAAATGACATTCTGAAAAAGGCTAAACTAAGAGGACAACAAAAAGGTCAGTGGTTGCCAGAGGTTAACGGCAGGGGGAAGCATGAATAGGTGGAACACAGGATTTGCAGCAAAATACCCTGTATGAGACCATAATGATGGACACATCTCCATTATACATTTGTACTAACCAACACAATATGCAACTCCAAGAGTGAACTAATAATATAATCTATGGACTTTGGGTAATTATAGTGAGTCAATGTAGGTTCATCAGTTGTAGCAGATGTTCTGTTCTGGTAGGGAATGTTCATCATAGGGGAAGCTATGCATGGGTGAAGGCAAGATGTATAAAAGAAATCTTGTACCTTGCCTTCAATTTTGCTGTAAACCTAAAACTGCTCTTAAAAAATACAGTCAATTTACAAAAAAATTAAAATAGTAAAACACAATGGATATGGGCTCACACCTCAGATCCAACAATTATCAGCTTTTAATCTTACACCAATTTACTAGCCTTTCTAAACACAAGTTTGCTATTTAGAAGGTGGTGTCAAAACAGTATGTGTTTCAATGATACATTCTTATATAGAAGTAATACTATTAGGCATTAAAAAAGTCTGAGCACAAATAATTGATGCTTTCAAACTGTGGTACTGGAGAAGACTCTTGAGAGTCTCTTGGGCAGCAAGGAGATCAAGCCAGTTAAACCTAAAAGAAAGCAACTATGAATATTCATTGGAAGAGCCTATGCTGAAGCGCCAATGCTTTGGCTACCTGATGTGAAGAGCCGACTCTTTGGAAAAGACGCTGATGCTGGGAAAGACTGAAGGCAGGAGGAGAAGGGGACGACAGAGGATGAGATGGTTGGATGGCATCACTGACTCAATGGACATGAACTTGAGCAAACTCTGGGAAATAGTAGAGGACAGAGAAGTCTGGCGTGCTGCAGTCAATGGGATTGCAAAGAGTAGGACACGACTGAGTGACACACCAGCTCTAAGGCATATATAACACTAGTCCAGTGTCTAGCAAAGAGCAGGCGCCCAGTAAGTAATGACAGCTCAGTTTAAATTTGAGTTCTTTCTTAACAATACAAGTTATGTGTAAGGGGGGAAGGGGCATAAAAGATAAATCCAAAATATGTATGTTCAGAAAATAAGTCAAGCTGTTTTTTAATTTTCGTGTGTGTGCTTGAATATTGATTTGTCCCCTCTAAGTAGATTATTTCCATTCATAGGTAAAGCTATATTTTCAACTATTTTGTACTTGCCCTTTAAGAAAATAATGTAGATGTTTCAATAAATTTTTAATTTTCTAAATTCTTTTCAATCCTCCTCCTCCTCTATTGTTGAGAACAGAGTTTAATCTTTCATCTATTCCACTTAACTATATTGCATGGAGGGGAGAGGATTAATCCACTTTTTTTGTACTCATGACTTTTACACTGATCACATTATTGTCTACACAGATCAAAGGTGAAGTGGGTAAAAGATGAGTTTACACAGAATATTTACCTAAGAACGACACTTCTAAAAATTATTTTCTGTTTACGTAATTCAGTAAATATTATCTACAACTTTATGTTACCTCCATGGATTCATTGACAAGAAAAAATTTAAATAAAAGCACTTATAGTAAGTCAGAAATCTTGAAATTTATGTTTGTTGGTGGAAGATATCCAGGATTTAGGGGTATTTAACTAAATAAAACTATCAATAGGTATGATCAAAACATACATCCACATACACATAAATATACAAATCTACCTACATATAAATATTTTATATTCTTGATATGATGTACAGTTATCAAATGTCTTTTAAACCATATTAGGGGACTTCCCTGATGGTCCAATTGTTAAGAATCTACCTGCCAATGAAGGGGATATGGGTTTGATCCCTTGTTCGGGAAGACCCAAATGCAGCAGAGCGCCTAGGCTGGTGCACAACAATTATTGAGCCCACACATCTAGAGCCCATGCTGAGCAATGAGGAGTCACCGCAATGAGAAGCTGCTGCAGTGAAATGAAAGGTAGCCGCCCTCCTCACACCCCGCCACACCACTACCCACACCCCTGCAACCAGAGAAAGCCCATGTGAGCAATGAAGACCCAATGCAGCCAAAAACAAATTAAAAAAAAAAATATATATATATATAAGGACTTCATTCAGGCAGAACTTTAGACACTCTAGTATTATAAGGGAAATGTAGCAAAAATAGTAGTATATTACTTC